TTTTCCCAATCCTATGGAAATTAGTTTGGTGGTGGGGGACCCCTCCTGAGCCCCTCCAATAGCACCAGTCACCGCTCTTTTTGGTGAATTGTATGGTATTGTATGGGACCACGGCCTGACAGTATCAAGATGTATCAAGATCATCCCACACCCAGCTCGCCACGGCTCCTGGATTCCACTGGATGTGACATGATCAGCGCAACCAGTACGTTCTGCCTTGTTGCGACGGATGCGATCTGCCTTCTCCAGCAGCGTTGGTACCAGAAGGCGTGTCAACTGGTCTGACCGCAAGCCACCCTTCAATATCAGTTCCTGGGAAGAAGCCCCAACAAAATTAAACAATAATCAACAGTATACAAACAATATCAAAATTTACAAAATAATAGGAAAATATAGGACACGAACCGGCATACCGTTCAAATCCATTCAATTTACGAATGTGTGTTCATGTGTGTTCTAGCATGATTCGGCAAGTCGCTGTCACCCTCGTCTCTGTTGAAGAGAGTTCACCGTTCGTGAGGGCAGAAACAAATGAGGACACTTGCTTCCGGACATCAGGGGATACACCGAGGACAACTCCTTGAGTGAGGTAGTTCAGGTTCCGGTCGAGGTACTGTACGAGACTCTCTCGCATGAGCTTTCGCGGAAAGTTCATGAACAAAGCCTTAGTAGTGTTGACCGCGTCGACATAGCTGATCCGATCAAGATCTCGACAAGCCAGCTCGGGCCATTCCTTCACCATGTATGCCGCTAGCTCCACCTGCCTGCTTTGGTCTTCTCGCAAGGTCAGATGAGTCAGGTTGACCCAGCAAATCTTTTGGACCCAAGACATCAAGTTGTTCATAGCTTTGACGCTGCGTGAGAGGCGGTGACAACGGTCGCAAGGGCCTACACACCATGTCTCTTCTGCTTTGCACTGAGAGTGCTGTAGCCACAGCTGACCACTTCTATCGACTTCCTCAAAGTGGTCTCGCATAGTCTCGCTAGCAAAAAAACATACACACATATATTATATATATTAATATATATTTATATATTAATAAATTAAACTAGCAAACCGTTATAACAGAAATACATATATACATTTCAAGCAATTCCAAGCAGCGGCCAGAATGCAGTCCAGCTGTGATGGCGTAGTCCCAATAGCACCGCTCTCAATCCACTGGAGGATCTGCTCTACCTTGCTCCCCATCACAGACAGGGCGCCAGGCCCAGAAGACAAGCAGATTCCATTGCACTTGGCCAGCGTGATGCTTTTGCTGGACCCTGTTTCTTCACCACCTTCACCAGACTGTTGTGGTGCTACCACTGATCTGCGATGGATGCTGGATGATTCGTGTGATTTCCTTTGAACTTCAGAGAAGCAAAAAAAATCAAACATATATAAAAATAGCAAACATAATAAATATACATACACAAATATACACCGTATATAAAAAAACAAAAATATATTCAAACAAAACAAAATAAGCACATAGATTTACCAAGTTTCAGCGCTAGATCGTTCGTGAAGATTGGAAGATGGAAGTAAACACCGCATGCCATGCATTGAACTGGGTGCTTGGACATTTCCAGCTCCACATGATGTGGATTCGTCTTCTTGTGATCTGGAAGGCGCTTCACAGCTTCTTCCTGCTCCAAAAACCTGTACATCCCGCTACGCTTCTCCTCCAGAAAAGTGGCGAGGTTGAAAGCTGGTCCGGTACCTGCTTTCGGTCGACCTGCCGCAGCTCGCTTTTTGGGGGGAGATGCCAAGGGGCCATCTTGCCCTGGTTCTGTTCGTTGCTTCTTGCGGACAGGTGTTTGCAAAGACTCCTTGATATCAAGCGCATCCAGCGAGAATTTGTCAACAAGCCCTTGACACTGAGGACTTGAGAGAGGAGGGGGGTGAACGAAAGGTAGCAGGGAATCAGGCGTAATCCGGGAGGAGGTGAGAGGCCCCCCCAACTTGTTAGAAGAGAAGTGATTGAGCGTGATGAAAGAAGAACTAATGCAAAAACGACTTTTTCGCATCAGCACTGCTCGGAGCTTGCGCTGGTCGGTGCTCTAAGTGATAGCCTGAGCGGAGGATCGAAAGGTCCGGAGAACTCATGCAGGACGAGACCCTGTGCGTGAACTCTTGCTGACAGGTTAGACGGAGTTTTCGTTTGAGAAAGGCGGTAGTGGTTTGTAGAGGAAAACACTTTGAATCAGTTGAGGCCATGTTCCACCTCCACCATGTACAAAAGACCAGAGAGACGCCACTGTTGGCTGTGCCTTCCAATGCGGACCAAGAATGCCACCTTGTGGGCAAACCACGAACACTTGAACACCTCTTTTTCGTGGATTGTGCGCAGCACGTGGATGGTGACAAAGCCTACAATCCATGTCCAATACCGTATACAGATTCCTACTGACATCTTACTGACCGTACTATCCCCGATGTCTTTTCCACTTTGATGCAAATGTGCTGCTGTGCATCTCATGGGTGAGGTCACCATCAAAAACCCTTCAGGTCAATTGCATAAGTTATGCCGTGCATTCTAGAGGTCCAATATCAGGAGAAAAAACACTGAAATGATCTTGTGCAGCGAACACGGAATTCGAAATAATATTGAATTGGAATGGATTTGAACCTGAAGTCCTCTTCAAGTGGGTCATGAATGACCCTCTTGCTGTATACAGCTTATGTCTGTCCAAACAATCTGGGGTGCTCTCATTGGAGCCTCTCGGCAACAACCAAACAAAAAGCAACCGCATCTCGTGGATAGTCCTGGTGCACCAGCTGAGAAGCACATTTTTTCGCACCCAGTGCCAAGAGTCGACACACGGGCGACCTCTGCAGATTGGCAGGTCGAACAGATCACTGGAACGGATCAGGTCGCTTTCAAGAAGCTAAGAATCCGATGTCAACAACAAACCGATCTATGACCGGTGTGGGTGGCATGATCGCATTGCCGGTGGCTGCATGTGGGTGCAGAACAAGACGAAAAGATTTTGTTGCCTCCAACTGTGTCCTTCCAACCCACAGCCAGGATCAAGGCAAAAGCATGCAAAAACCATGGATCAAGGGAATGTACCAACCCCCACAGCCAGGTGCTGCTCGGTGTGTAGCACGCAGACTCGAAACCACCCGAAACTCAAAGCTGCAGGGCACCACAGCGTGGGTGCGGGGCCCCACAGCTAAATGCCGACTCGTGCGGCCCCCGCCTCTCTGTAGGCAGGTCGTTAAAACAGCAAAGCTACGCCAAGACCCGTTGGCAGGTCGTTGAAACAGGAGAACAAGTTGTAGTTGGGCGCTAATGCATGATGAATTGCAACTTCTTTGATTTCATTCACTCTATGATAGAGTATGTTGGAGTTGATAAGTTCTTTAACTTTAGATGGGTTGAGTTGAGTGGTGGGTATGCTGAGAATATGTATAGTGACGTCAAATAGGTGTCCCTTTTTGTCTCAAAAAGCATGCGGGAGGAGACCCAGCATGCGTGGTGGTATACCAGCTGTTCATTGTTCTGCATCCCCTCAAAGAGACGCCTGTGCTTCCAAGACCTTGTTCGAAGGTGGCCCTTCTACCTGCCAGGGTCAAAGGGCCAAACTGTAGAGTTCACGATGTGACTCCGCTAGGTTCTTAACAAGTGCTTCTTTCAAGTATGCATTCCGACTGACTAGCATGGAAGTGGGAAACAGCCCCTTGGATGACTACACTTTGGAAGATGAACATGGAACCTGAAAACCACTGGTCATCAGGTTCCATGTGCATTTTCCCGGGTGTCGTTTCCTTTACGACCGCATTCACCACGAGGTCCTCGACTCGACCAGATGTGATCAACCAGTCTATTTTGGACTACAAGGAACAGCTGTAACCTGGTAGGAGAACATGTGAGACTGTGTTCAAAAATGGATCATGAGCAGCTGTGAGTTTGGAGAAGGTGACTGGTGAATAACCTTGACAGCCCTGTGAGAATTAAGTTTGAAGAAAGCCCATCCTAGTGGTAGCACCTTGACTTGATCATCTCTTGAGTAGAAATGAATTTCATATAATTTCCATGGTCCATGAAATAATGTCCACTACCCAAAAATTGTCGGGTCTGACCGGCCAACTGGTGGCCAAATGTGAGTTGAACTGGGCTCTCAATGCATGGCTGGCTGCACTGCCAGCAGGAGCTGACGGAAGCGCTCCTGTCGGCAGGACCAGGAGAGCCTTCGGGTTCTAGATTTTGCAAATGAGATGGCAGGAAGGCGTATGTCATACCTCCAGAATTTCTACAATACCATATTGCATGTTAAGCATGTCAAACTCAAACCATGTCAAATCTGTCTCATGCCCAATCGAATCTAGAGCTAACAAAGGCTAACCATATACGTTTATGTCTATATGCAGATAGGGTAAGCTAACTTATCAACGCCATAGATTACGGAAGTTCTGACGGTTCTTAGGACACATCTCACATTTGGCCCTCCTTCCCAGGCATGTGCTTGCACATCTCAGCATACCACGCGTCACGACCCTGGCGTCGCAGCGCGTCTCCGGCTGAGGGCACCAGCAAAACCGGTGGGGAAATCAGACTTGGCCATGTTCAATAGGAAAGCCATGGAAAACCAGGTAGACAAGGCATCTTGCATTTCTAGGTAAATTGGCCAAAAAGGTGGAATGAAATTCTCCTGAATTCTCCCCAAGAAGGTCGCGGAGCCCGGGCAGAATGATCCCAGAACCTTCGAACCCCACATAAGTTTGGCCCCCCATCTTCCTCTCCCAGCTGTATGCTCCGCGTTGGATCTGTGGGGAGGGTAAACGCAAACCAGGAGCACCATCTTCCCAGGCCTGCCGCAAAAGGAGGGGTTCCCGATCACCAAAGAAAGCTTTGTCGTAGAGATTGCCATCGTCAGAAGCTGCCAGCTGGTGCCAATCGGCCTGGCGAGGGGCTCGGGCGGATTGGGATAGACTGAGAACAAATCACATAGGAGTTAAGGCGTCAAGTGACCTAAGGAACATATTATACAGTAAGGAAAGTCAGGTCAGTGTTCTGTGTCGTCAAAAACGTGTGATCCGTTACACTGTGACCCGTTTATGGAAAGGCAGGACCAACCCCTTGAGGAGAGAACAAAGTGTGCAAGACCTGCGCGAAAGGGGCTAGATGGGCTTGTCTCGGCCTTAAATCCAAAACAGCCTGGAATTCGGGATCACCAACGGCATGTCCGTCCCATGTAGTCTCAGGCAGCGAAGGCCGGCCTCCGCGTGAGATATGCACGAACGCCTGCCACGGTCAAAAGGCCAACGCCTGCGCCGGCGAGGCACTTGGCAGCCCAACCATCTGACCTGAGGATGTTTAGGCAAGAGTTTTTGAAAGGGCAATGGGACGAACAGATCTCACTTTGTCAAGAATTTGGATGACAGGTTGCATTCACTGTGCGGAAGCGTTTTGTGGGTTTCATTGTGTTTCCTGAATGCTCCTTTTGCAAGCGCATCTCGTTCATTGTGTTCTAATTAGACCGTTTCGAAAAAACGGAATGCTTCCGCCTAGTTTGCGGGGTGGGAGGTGCTTGCCTTCCGGAACTCATCCTCGGCGGTGGTGAATTGACCTGGCACACCAGGGCCAACACCTGGGTCAGCGGGTTGGCACCAAGCTGCTTCATCCCACAAGCTCGGCCCAGCTCGAAAGGCTTGCTGTAGTCGATGGCTCTCGAGCCAACGCTCATTCAGGGCTGATGGCAACTCAAGGTGCTGCGGAACCAGGGGAACCGTCCTCACCCCTCCTAGTGGTTTCAGTCAAACTCAGCTTGTCAAAACAGTGCTTTGTCCACCTATGGCTTGCAAGATACGTCAGGACACTCAGAAACCTGCCATGGAGGGGAGGATGTTCATAAGTGTTCCGATATGGCACGGTCATAGGAGGCCATGGGCAATGTGAAGGGGTCATGACCCTTTTTGTAGCACGGGTGGGTCATCCTACTGTCCTACAGAAATCAAGTCCCAAAAATGCATCACAATGCTCAATGACTTGATGATTGGATCAAGTTGAAGTCAAGCATACCCAATCTAATTATTCTAATCAGGATCATCTTAAACCTGAGTCATGAGAAACGTCACTTCACAGGTCCCATGTTTTATGCTCTCCCTGAAGATGTCCGACGCAAGGAGGTTTCGAAAGGCTGACAGCGCAGCAGCAGCTGGGGCTGGCACCAAGCCTGGTTGGATTGCGGGCGGTGGCAGGAAGGATTCATGGCACTTGAAGATGGTGCTGGACCTTTAGGCCTCTGTATGATCGTCCAAGGTGACGCTTAGCCGAGCAGTCCATTCACGACTAACGTTTCCCCTTGGTGGTGATGGGGAGAAGACGACATGTGAGGACCAGGAGGTGGAGTAGTTCAAGAATCACTGGATGTTCTAGATTGGGATCAATATGTCCATGTACAGGTACTGGGTAGGTCCAAAGGCAAAAAGACCGTTGCCTCAGATCATTCCAGTAGCGATACAGGGTTGAAGCACTCTACAGGCTGTGCTCTGTTGCCGGTCTCAGGCCACGCACGGCCATGCGCCACGATAGGTGTATGATCCATTGACCCCTTTTCAACCACTCCAACGGATAAAAAAGAAAGGGAACTGAATACATGTGAAGACGAAGAAGGCAAAGACCAGAGTTACATCGTTCTAGAGTACAATTCTACAGAGTTGGGACCTGGATCCAACAGCCAGCTTCGAGCTGAGCTTCGCGCTTGACGTCACACCCACGCTGCGAATGCGACATGAAGCGCGGTGAGGCCTGGGCATGGGCAGATCCGATGGGACGAAGGAAGCCGCAGCTGGTCGAAAAACCAGTATTTACTTGTGGAGACCAGCATGTGGCGATCAGAGTTTGATTCATCACGATCACAAACACCGAAAGTGAAAACAACGGAATGGGCCTGAAGAAACTCATGATACAATGTTCGTGGGACTTTTGTCTCGCTACAGACGATGTCCTCTGGGCACATGCCGGAGATTTGCAAGCTGCCGCAAGGTTGGGTTGGCTGCGTGCGCACAGGCGCCGGAGATGTTGCAGTTGGCGTAGAGGAAGTACTTCGTTTGGACGAAGGGCCGCGACTGCACAGCAGATGTGGCGAAAGAGGCCACGAAACGATAGCCTTCGGTGGCCGCTAGGCGGAACTGGCGGGCGAGCCAGTGGCGGAGCACAAGTTGCCAGGCAGCGACGGAGAGCTCGACGAAGACGGGCGGCTTCTTGCTGAGGAATGTTAGAGAGCAAGGAAGTCCAATCTGCTCCGAAGCGGGTGTGCATGTGGCGCTCGTAGTCGATGTGCTGCAGTGGCTGGGGAGGTGCGTGGCATCGATGCCAAATGCGAGCATGCAACTGCTGCCAGGAGTTCCAATGGATCGGATAGGACAAGTGCTGTTGGATCGTGTCGGAACAAGGGACAGTTGGGAGGGCGGGCGTCCTCACTCGGACCAATGCAGCAGCCGTTGCAACCAAGGAGTCGAGGTCGGGCTCCTGCACAGCACGGTGCCAGTCGGAACCAAAGCGAAAGGCCATGTCAAAGTGCCAAGTTGAAGAGGAGCAAGAGCCAGGCACAGTTCGAAGTAGAGCCCCCGTCCGTTGGATGCACTGCTGGTATGCATTCCAGGGGAGCGGGGCAGGTGCTGCATCACGCACAGCCGCACGGATGGCAAGGCCGGCGGCCGAGGAATCTGACATGGTAGGATATCTATAGGGAGTGCGGTCGGGAGGATAACGGGCTTGGGCCGAAATGGAGGGCGCACAAAGTGCCAGGTACCATGCAAATAACATGAGGATTGCAATGTGGACATGCTGAGGATCCCGCGGGTTGGTGACGTGGACGGCAGAGGTCTGGGTGGTTCCTGATGTGCGTGGTCGAAGTGTGCGAGAAAAAGCGAAAGGCAAGCGATATGCATGGCAGCGAGGGCGCGCGCTCTCTTGTTCCGGTCGCGGCCGAAGATTTCAGTCGGTGTCCGAGGGCGGAGAAGAGGACAGCTCGGAGTTGGTGCCGTCGACCGCGGGCTCCCAGAAGGCGAAGACGATGCCCAGCTTTTGGTGCACAGCATACATGAGGAAAAAGGTTCCACGAATACCTGGCTCGGCTGGTAGAGCGGGAAAGCGGCAGAGCATGTTGGAGGGTAAAGAGGGGGAACGAGTGTTCGGGAACCAAAGCACCAAGTGCAGCTGGCGTTGAAGCCATTGAATGCTGTGGTCCAAAGGGTCCACACGCCCGAGTGTGTGATTCAGAGCTGGTAGAAAGGTATCTCCGGTCCAGGGGGTGTCATCGAGGAACTCGCGGAAGCTGCCTGGGTTGGCCACGTCGATATGCCACAGGTTGCGGGCGACAGCGACGAGACCGTGTGGCACCAGTTCCAGGTCGAAGACAATAGCTGGGCGAGCAGGAAATTGCAGGGGCGGCAGCCGCACACCATTGCGCAATGGCTCCAAGTAGCCGCGGACTTCACGTTTGAGGGCCTGGATATTTTGCACTACGGTCTGCTGAAGGCTGTCAGGCCAAGGAGCAATGGCTGCAGCAGCAAGAAGGTCCGCGAGGTTCAGGCAGTCGGGCAAGCTGGTGTGGAAGAGGTACGTCGGCATGAGCAGCAGGAGCATAGCGAGGTTGCGAAAGAACAAATGGAGCAGACCTCTGAAGGTGCTGAGCCCAAATGGGGGCTGGCGGCGCTATCTGTCACCTCGTCTCTGATGAAACAATCTCAGGTCAAGTGTCAATACTGAGTTCAGAAATGCTTCCGTCCGCAGGCGCAACAAGACACGGGCGCTCGCGGAACGTTTGGGCCTGCGTCGTGGGCTTTGTCAGGAGAACCTGTGGCCGGCTGCGAGGCGGGCGGAAGCGACAAATGCGGAAAGTGGTGGCTACGGAGGCTGTATAGTTGTCGAGGGTGGTGCACGAAAGGGACGTAGCAGGTTGATTCTTTCCCGCGCAATGACTTGACTGGAGAACAGGTACATGTGTGGACTGCGTGGAAGGAAGCAAGGTGTACCCGAATCAACACTGGACACGTCGCACTATTTCTGCTATTGCGGTACGAGCGCCGCCACTGCAGAGGTGACGCGGAACGCACCGAGATCGTGCCTGGAGGTGAGACGGCCCACCAGGCGCGGCATGCCACGTGCGGATTCAAAGGCAGTGGCAGCAAAGGTGAACCGCTGGCATGGGCAATGTGCAGAGCATTTAGGATGGGGAAATTGTTCCAAAGGGATCGTGGTAATCCAGTGAAACATGTGTACTGAGAAGGTCTGCCATGCAGCGGTGCAAGAAATGGCTGAGGAAGCGCTCACTAGATGCGAAAGATCGACAGCAGGTGGTTCCTCACGGGCGCCGGTAGCATGTCGTCCACGACCAGCCGATGATATGTTTTGCGCAGTAGGGCACTCAGAGCGGCCAGGAGCTTGTTGTCGTCTCGGAGGAGCAAGGGTGTGGTCTCCCGGACATACTTGCCTTGTGCGTTCTTGGTGTGGGCGATCCCCAGCTCGTCGAGATGGGCCTTGAGCGGAAATGTGTTCCCCTCAAGGAGAAGCACGAAGGCCTCGTCCGTGCCAGCAGTCATCGAAGCCATGATGGTCAAGTGTGTGGAGGCATAGGGCGGTGGTGCGATCGTCAAGGAGTGGGTTGGGTGGATCCCACTCTGCTGTGAGATGTCCCATGACGTTGTGTCGAGGAATGCCTGGATGTCCAATCCGTCAGGAGCCCAAATGTGCACGCGCAGTGCGTCGCAGCTGTGCCCCGGCTCTGTGGATCGTCTCCACGTTGCCCAGCGCTCAATATGCTGGAGGCCTGCCAGCACGCCCTCGTTGCCCCCACCAGTGTAAAGGGCGGGCACCCACGGGGCTGTGGAGGGAAAGCTCCAAAGCAACTGGGAGAATGCAGCCTCAAAGAATGCAGGAACTGAATGAAAAGGAAAAGGTGTTTATTGCAGGAGAACTGCCGGGGATAAGAACAGTATAGAAAGAAAAAGCCAAGGGGCGAGGTCGGTCAGTTGCTGCGGGACATCGCCACCAGGATTGGCGCGCGCCCCAGCCTCAATGAAGGCAATGACGGAGTCCTTGATTTTATAGGTGAGGCTCGGCTTGTTGGTCATGCTCAGGAGGATTGCAAAGGATGCCAGCTCGGGTTCGAACTCCGTATGAGTGAGGGAGCCGTCCGCGCCGTACTTCAGGATGCTGATCTGGAGTGTAGGTGGGGTCACCTGCGCTGGAGCTGAGTTGGTGGCGCCGCTGCGCCGGCGCTTGACGAAGAACGGCGCAGGTGCTGCTGCAAGTGGATCCGGTTGGGGCGGAGCCGCTGCTGGAAGTGAAGGATCTGATGCAGCCGGCGTTGGAGGCGCTGGAGGTTGGACCTGAGGTGCCGGAGGCTGCGATGCTGCAGGCTTCGTTGGAGGCGCTGGAGGTTGGACCTGAGGCGCCGGAGGCTGCGATGCTGCAGGCTTGGCCGGAGCAGGCTGCGATGCTGCAGGCTTGGCCGGAGCGGCTGCAGAGTGGCGACGCTTATTTTCGCCCGGCATGATGTGCTCGCGGTGGGAGCGGCGGCAAAAGGTAGGCGGATGGCAGCAGAGCCCAAAGAAGCTGGTCGGAAGCCGGTGGCTGTAAGCGTGAAAGCCGAGCCGGAACGAAAACGAGCGATACTCGGGTGACACGGACACAGCGGCGCCTGTGGACGTTGAGGAAGAACGGAGGAGGTGGCGTCTTCCTGGATGCAGCCGGCATGTCTTCGATGGGGGCCAAATTGATTTGAAGCAAAGGAAGGAGGTAGTCAGGGAGGAAAAAACAGGTATATTCTCGAAATCGATGGTTTTGGGACGAAGGATCCAGAAAACGTCTCCAAACCGAGCTCCCGGACGAGGCTCTACGTGCAGAAAAAACAGATATATTTAATATATCTGTTTTTCAACCCCAAAAATGCTAATGATGCAGCCGGCCGCGGGCAGCACCATTGAAACTACAACAAGTCAAAACATGGGTCAGGACCGGACGCCAACTAACCTACCCTTGAAAAGTGGGTAGGTTCATGTCTTGACACCTTGGGCACCAGGATGTGTCTCAGCAGCGTTTCGAGCGGCAACCAAAAACCAGCTCAGCGATCTGAGCGGAAGTCTATAGGGTCTTATCTTATCTATAACCTGAACATTGGATGCCAGGAATTCATATTAGATCGACGCCTTCCAATGCATCCGAAAAAAGGTCAAACTACTTATGCGGGAAAGAGTCAACAGTTGAAGAAGACAGCTCTACCCAACATGTCTACTTGGAGTGGCTGGAAAAAGGAACCGGAAAACCTTGGCCCCGTTCATACAGGGACAGGTGTGGACGATGCCACCGAAGTAGATCAATCACCGAATTCTCAGCACAGGACCAAAACCCCCAAGCCTCAGTCCTGTTTGGGCAGCACCGATCTCGAGCCACCTCCCCCACTACGGTCGGCCCGGGAGAAAAAAAAAGGACCCTCAATGGGTGGGGAATCACTGCGACACAAGGGTCCTGCAGGATGGAAGCTGGGTTGATGTCTCTATACTTTTGGTTTGTGGGAGGAGCTCAGGGTTACACAGTGACGCTCGGACTTGAACCCCGGTCCAGGGCCACTGAGCCCGCTGGGTGCCCCTGCCTGATCGCTAAAATCCGAGCCGGCGGCACCTGGAAGGACTGACCCGGTTACGCGAAGTCGCTCCCGCGGGTTGGTCGGTTACTCTAGTCTTCCTGATTGTGGAAGGTCTAAATCCCGAACAAGGGACAGCTGTTTGAGTGGATGTGGGGTTGTGCAACGCCAGCTCAACCATTTCTTAAATTTATTAAACGCTCTTCCTAGGAAGACTATCTTCGCTGCGCCATTCGCCACGCATATCGTGGAATGCAAAATGCAATGGGCATGCTTTAGGAGTTGTAAGATCCAAGGCGTTGGCAGCCAGCATGGATTGCAATCATGAAAACTAGCATCCAAAGGCAGTATCCCAAAGACCCTATCAACTCCTTCGTTGAGTCTGACAGTCCATGTATCCGTTCTTTCAGGAAAGGGCCACCGGACGGGTCTAGGGGACCACCACGGCTGAAAAAGCCATTGACCCACATTGATCCATTCAGTGAGAAACACTCCATGGGACTGGAATCATATACTGCCCTGACGGTGGAAGAGGCAGGGAAGAAAAACATGCGAGTTGAAACGAAGAATCCCACGAGGGAGCGCGGAAATTGGCGAACCTCCGCGGATAGCAGCTGCAAAGCAGCGGTGAGTGGACTCAGAGACGTGGCCGCTTCACGCGTGGAGCTGGAACTGGACCGAGGAGTGGTGCGGTGACCATCAGGCGCAGCGGCTGCAGGCGCAGGCCAGCTAATTTGCGGTCAGCTTCCTGGAGCGTGGTCGTCTGCATGGCGGCAAAGTGAGCGAGTGCGTCGGCGAGGTACTGCGGGGGCCCGCCACTGAGATAGTCGCGTCGCGGCGCCCGCAGCAGGAGGAGATCATCCAGTGATGGCAAACGACTGAGCAGGACGTAGACAGCAAGCCAATATTCATCCTGCAGTGGGCAAAACATAGGGACAAGGCTAGAGAAGGTGAGGAGATGGGCAAGCACAAAAAGAAAACACTGAAGCTGCCAAGATGCACGTTTCATGTGAGGTGGTAATGCCAGGTCTGCCAACATGGCAGGCACGGTGCGTCCTTGTACATTGTAGGCTGTGCAAGCCAATGTGTTCGTGCAAGGAAATTGTCGACGAGAGACCTGCAGTGGCGTGCAAGCAACGGCAGCGAGGGTGGCGTCATCGAGGCCGTGGAGGTGCTCTGAAGA